TTAAGAATTAGAAAAACTCAACCCTAACCAACAAACACGCTACGAGGGTTTGTTTAAGTTAGATCATACGTTCCCTTGACATGGGACCAATCACGCTAGTCGTCACTGGTATTAACCAATCAAACAATTACGGATTTAACTGGTTAATTTGGTAGTAGATTATTAAGCTAATTCAAATATCGAGCTCTTGACATTCAAATAACAAAACAATCATAAGAAATTAAACCAGAAAATACACGAATACCAATGAATAAAAGAAATAAATAAAATAATTCGATCTCACAGATGTTTGGAACTGCGTTTTCAAGTTAACCTTTGACTAGAAAAGAAGATTTAGCTACGTATCCTCAAGCGAAATCCGCAAGATTCCATTGATAACAATTGCGTATGGTTTTTCCTCTAAAACTAACGAAAAAGAAGAAGAGCCAAATTAAAGCAAGTGACGGCCGTTTGTTGTACTTCAAAGAGTCATCCCCGAGCCGAACTATTAATCAACGGTCCGTCCTTTGCTTTTTCGGTCTCTACTACCAATAACACCGCATGTTTCTTAAATAGGAAAAGGTAACTACTAAGATAATATTCCAAGTTTCCTAATCTAATACTAGAACTAATAATGAAAATTAAAGTCTTCAAAATCTTTCTTCAAAAACTGAGTTCGACTTGGACTTGGAAATAGGCTCCGAACGCGCCTCCATCAAATTAATTCTTAGAATGCTGGAAAATTGCTCCTTTTGATCACGTCTCACATAATTCCCTACAATTAGCACAATTAATCAAATATCAGTAGAATCTGACGATTAAAGCACTATTTGGCTAAGGTAAAAGGGAAAATAAACACAATTTAAATGACAATTTTGCACCTTATCAAGTTTGGCTTGTGAGCATTTTCGAGTAGCTCACATTTGTGCCACTTGAACTTGATCACCGCCAAAGTTGAGTTAAGTAGTTAACCGAGCTACTCACGAGTTCGAGTTGATTACCTTGGTTAAATTGCAAGCCTAAGATACCCCAAGGAATCCTATAGATATTGGATGGCATACTTATATGTATAGGGATTCCTTTCTATATACTTATTCTTATATTTCGAGGAAAAATATCTAAAGATGTATAGAAACATAGTTTAAATCACAAATTCACTTTCATTTACAAAAAGTATAAGCCAATTTAAAGCTTGAGGTCAAATGCCATCTTTGTAGTTCACTGGATTGATCAAAAAAGGAAAGAAATAGCATTCTTCTGCTTTAATCTAATCGAGCAATATGGCTTTTAGAATAAATAACATAAACTTGCTAAGGGCTTTAAGACAGCAATATTGCTTCAAAATAATAGCATACCACTGGAAGAGCTTTCCCGTGTTTTGTGCAGTATGATTAAACAATAGAAGCATGAAACAGAAAGTGTTGGTCAGACTCACGATTAGTGCTGGACTTAGCACAATAGCTAAAATGCCAATTTTCACAAAAATTTTCTCCATGGTCAAATGTTTGGGATTTAGTTTTTCAGCGATAATTAACATTTCGTTGTACATGAAAAGGTTTCATTTCAGAATGTTCAATGGTCATTCTGAAGCATCACTACTTGCAAATTTGGTGTGCTTCAATAATCAGAATCTGGTATAATCAGCTGGTGTCATACTTTGATATGGTGTCCCTCTTCTCTTTTTGTAATCTTTCTGAGAGGATGTGAGCTTGCATCAATAAAGGTGTAAATATTACATCAGTTAAGTAATCTACCATTCTTACATTCGTCCACCATGTTGCAAGTTTTGTGGGTAAATTTTGACAATGATGAGGTGCCTATAGAGACAGGAAATCCAGAAAGAAAGTTAGAATGACAGTTGCTTTCACTAAAAACACTAGAGAATAAGAAAATTTGCACAGTAAAAGTATGCCTATAATTCTCATTTGAGATTTTCCATAGACGTTTACACCTTTCATCATTTGGATTAGCCAATTTGACACTAGTTCTTATTTCAATCTCTTTTTAGTTATTTTTGCTAAATTTGCAGTAATCAAACCTTCTTTTAAAGCCTACATTTCCATTGACAATAATCCCAGCATTTATTCACCCCAGTTACCATATGTACATTTTTAATGCTTCCATTGAAGTGTGTCCCATATCAAGACGTGTGTTTATAAGAAAACGAATCTGTCAATTTTTCCAGGTTTCTTTATAAAAACACACAGAACTCCTGAATGGAAACGGAATAGAATTTGTCCCACATCGAAGAAATGATATGCATACTAGTGCTTTATAAGCAACTTCCTCAAGGCAGCTTGACGCCGAGCTTGGTAGCACAAGCTTGTAACCTGAGCAGGGGCATTAATGTGTTGGAACGTTGGATTGGCTCAGATGGTAGGACCGGTAGGGCTATTCACTGGCTCGCCCATTCCAAGCGAAGAGCTGGGTCATGCGGACTTGGCGGAGGCTGAGACCGCTTGGCTCCTAAAGTGGAGGGCACTGCGTGAGGCTGGTTTGACAGAGCAACGAGAACTTCCCGCTCCTGGCAGTGGAAGGATAACGAGCTGGTGCTCCACTAGTCCACTATTACCAGATGGGCATTCCTAATTGAACCAACACTTTTTTTCAATTTTTTGTTTTCCCGTGGAACCCTCCTCAAGAATGATTGACGGTAACGAGAGAGAGAGAGAGGAAAAGCTGCTCCATTCTGCAATAAAAAGTTATTTGCAATACAGGAAGAGAAATGAATCTCCAAAGATATAAAATAGGTCCAAGCAGTGGGTTTTCCTATCAACATTACCTTGCAATAAAACGAAAATCTCCAAAAATATGAAGGAACAGTAAGCATTGAGTTTCCCAATTTTCACTCACATAAAAAAAATTAAATTTCTTCAAACTGTGTTTCTACAAATCTATTGGTTTCCTTTATGAAAAAACAAAGTAAGTTTCGCATGTGATGATAGAGTCTTCTTTGCAATTGAATTTTGAGTGATCAGAAGTTACACATTTTCAAGTTACTCATTCTTTAGCTTGAACGAAATGTTAATAAATGCTTCTATATGATATCTTTGTTTACCAAAATGATCACCATTATTGCATTATAGAAAAGACACCGACCATGTAAAAATCAATTCAGTGTGTGCAAAAAAGATGCACTATATCAGGGACAGGCGCAGGAGTTTAGCTTAGGGGATGAACAATCAAACAATGTATAACAAAAAAAATATATCACAACAAATGATGTATGCTAACTTGAAATCAAAGTCTTACAATTATAGTTTAATATATGATAAATAATAAATAAATGTTTTTTGGAAAATAAAAGACAAAGTCTAAAGCAAAACATGAAAATCAACTCACAGAACAAAATCAGATAAACATTAACTAAATTTAATAAAAACGCATTAATCATATGCAAATTAAAATAAAAGTTCTAAGATACAAATTTAGAATAAGAACAATTGACAAATGAATAATCATCAAAATAAAATTTCTATACCACAAACTTAAGATAAGTGTCTAAATAATTAATGATTATGAATTAAAATGTAAAGGAATTGCAAAGGAAAAAAGAAAATAGTCTTGCCTTCAAATATTGGAGTTTTGGAAATTAAAGGGTGGATGTTTGAGACGAGTTGAACGAACTTGGGAAAAATCCGATGCTTGCTTGATCAGGCAACAAAAGTCGTCGTTGGTTTAGAGGTTGGCTTTTGGCTACAACTTAAGTCAATCATGTATACATAAAATTCTAAACATGGCTGAATTTTCTTTTATTTGTCCGTAATTTCCAATTTGTAGTGTTTTCCTTACCTTAACTAAGGTAAGAAAACTAAGAGTTTGTTTATTAGGAGACTTGCATAAATAGATATTAATTTTTTTTAGGTAATGTTTGAAGAGTAAATCTAATATATACTGTCAGCATTGGATGAATGATAATTATACAAAATTTGAATTTGAAATTCAACTTTTGTACACATATTATGAATCCAACGATAACAGTATATACACTGTTAGTGTAGGAAAGATTAATCTATGTTTGAAATTAGTGCTCAAAATTAAAAAAGATATCTACAATAACTGCAAAAATTCACTAAATGCCAATAACTGATTAAAATACGATTTTTATTTATTAAAAAAATACCATTAACTAAAGCTCCTTATAGCATTAGCGTTGTTCTTGTAGTTATCAATTAAAATGACAGGTTATATACATTACTTATTCTTTTTTTTTTAACAACTGTTGTCAAATTACTTCTCGGCACGTACATATATTATATTGACTTTCAACAAATTATCAAAGATAAAACATAATTTTTCAAAAATCCAACTCCTAAAAACAATAGTCTACTTCAGTCAGCAGGGACACATTTAACAAATTATTAGAGTAAGAGCACAATTCTTAAAATTCTTTATACCTGCAATTGGATCTATCCTTTGGCCAATTGTGTTTTTCCTAATCTTGGTTGACATTGTTTGGTTGAAAACATGAAAATTTTTATGGATCGAATTTCATTATCAAACTTAGAGATGAAGGTTGAATTCAGAGACCTAATTGATAAAAAAAATTAATTAAAGAGTAAGAAAAACCATGTTCTTTATGTACTCAACATAGCAAAAATGAGTTAAATAGTTTACAGCTAATGTTAATGATATTCACCGTTGACCTATCTAAGCAATTTTTGGCAGTATAGACTCTTTATTTTGAAAATATCTAACAAAATGATTGAAGAAATTACTTATATAAGAAATCTTAGCACTTCCTATTTCCGTTTCTTTTCCTTCAAGTTGAAGTTCATGTTCTGGAGTTGACTAAGACCAAGTCTTGGCCGCAGAAAACGAAAAATCAATTGGAAACTGTATACATAGAATATGCTATGCTATAGAGTCGCATCTATCAAGGCTTAAATTTTCAATATCAATTTGTTTGAGCAAAATTGAGTAAAGAAACTTCTCCATAATTTTCGTCAAAATTTATTGTCCGGAGTAAATTTCTCCTGCAAGACTACGTCACTCGAGTCCTACTTCCAATAATCACAGCAATGTCAGATTACATTCCAAATCATTTGCTTGCAAATGTACTTTTGAGGTTACCATTTGATTCTCTGCTACAATCTAGGCGCGTTTCAAAATCATGGCGTGCTTTAATTGATAGCTCAGATTTCATCAAAATACATCTCAATAAAGCCAACCAAGAAGCAAATTCCCCCAGTGGGATCAAAATAATTGGCCTAAACCAGAACAACTTTTACACTTTGGTTTTGGATCTTGAAGCTGATAGCTCCAGTATTACCGCAAGTGCCAAACAGCTCAACGGCCCTTCGGATTACTCTGGAAGTGAAGTTTGTTTGAAAGGCTCTTGCAATGGACTTCTTTGTCTGATGTATCCAGACACAGACAAAATTATTTTTGGGAACCCATGGATTCAAAAGTCTTGGGAATTACCCTCTTTCCCAATTGAATATCACACCCGTGGTAGTGCTATTTTTCATCTTGGATTCGGGTATGACCGTGTGGATGATGAGTACAAAGTTTTGAATAGACTAGTTTTCAGATCTATGTGATAGAGATCAATCGAGTTGGTATGATGTAGTCTACGTTTATAGCTCAAAGCAGAACTCATGGAGAAGGATGAAGCATTTTCCATTTAAACAGTCGAACTACCACTGTTACTGTGCCCAGATTGTGTCCTTGCTAATGGTGCATTACACTGGTTAATGAGGGAAAGGTGATCGAATGGTCTTATCTGCATCATTTCCTTTGATCTTAGCAGCCAAGAATTTCAGAAAATGCCTTGTCCAATGATTCCATGGCCTCTAGGTTATTTTCGGCATAAATTGAAGGTCTTGAATGGATCCCTTTGTTTAGTATTGTACTATGACGTAGGTGGAGGATTTGGTGCTGATATCTGGGTGATGGAAGATTATGAAGTGGACAAATCTTGGACCAAGTTAACTTCAGTTACAATGCCTGGTTGGACATTTTGGAGCTTGACGCCTCTAGCTTTATCAAAGAACAATAGGCAATTACTTTTGCAGATTGATGGAGTAAAGCTTGTTCTTCATGATCTTGAAACAAAACGTATTAGTGATTTAGCCACTAGAGGTGATGTAAGTTTTGTTCAATCATCATGTACATGTATTGGAAGCCTTGTTACGCCTTTTGGAACAGATTAGATTTTCAGAATGAGTTGTTTCTTTTGCTTTTATGCGTGATGTATTCTCAGTTGAAGTTTTGTTGTTGATGAAAATTGTGGTTTCTAAAACATGAAAGGAGACTAGTTTCTTTGGATGGTATTGTTGTATTTAGGTACCTCTGAGTATGAAGTTCAAAATTCAACAAATCTTGATGTTCCATAGCACTTGCGCTGACAAGATTTGCTAGATTTACTTCCTTACACTTTTCCTGACAAAATTGCATAGGTCTATAATCCTTTTAGTTTGACTGTGATAACAAAAAATGCAGAAAAATAGAAAGGTGAAATTTGTCATAGTGTGTTTGGTCAAGAAAACTAACTACAGCTACAGATCCAGTAGTGTTGAAAACCGCATAGCAATTGTGGCGCATATCAATAATGCAATTGCTGATGAAAACCGAATAATCAGTAAGCATGTCACAAGTTACCTATCTCTTGTTCCGTTTTAATACCTAAAGTTTTAACAAAAATAAATTCGGTCCTAATGTTTGGCGCTAGGTGCAATTTGACACGGAAGCGGTAGGAAGAAATTGTTTCATGAACGATTCCCAAAAATAACAGAGGAGTGATTCACGATAAACTTTTGGAAAGATTTGAAAGAACCTTGTTTCTCAAGAAGCTTGAGAGAAATTTAGTAAAAACCAAGATAACTTGATAAAAGTTGATAAAAATCAAATAACAATAGCCCTAGTATGCCTATATATAGGTAACAAATTCAAATTGAAAAAGGAAACGAATTACAGCTGAAAGTGGAAAAACAAAGCACAAAATGACCCATTAGTGATAATGTCTGGCACCGGTGATGATGCTGGTCTTCAAGCTGAAAATTTTCTGAAGTTCATCAATAGGATGTCCAGTGTCAGTCATGAGGCCAAACTTGGCGTTAGATTTCCTCTTAAGTTTGTCTCGCATCGCTCAGCGATGCCTTTCTTCGTTCAGTTCCTCTTGTCCAAGAAGTCATGTGCAACATGCTCTACATTTGTCTCTTCCATTTAAGAAGACCTCGCCCTCGAGTTCTCTTGGAAATCTATATATAAAGGCGGCTCTGAAAGGGGAATAGAAATAAAGGCCCGAGACATTAAATATACGTGAAATACCCATACAACTTAGCAAATCAACCACATAAGCATTAGGATTGATTCGTTGAAGAATCTTGTAACGTCCATGCTTCATTGGTTGTAGCTTGTGATATTTGCCAACAGAAAACCTCTCCTTATGCAGAAGAACTATCACCTCATTACCTGCTTCAAATGTTTACCTGCAGAAGCTTTGAATTTAGCATTAGTTGCCTCCAATTTCACTTTCGCCTCTACTTGTATAGCTTGCGAATCCTTAACCATATTCCTCGTGGCAATGCTATAACTTGAAACATTTAGATGCTGCACCAAATCCAATGCATGTCTAGGAGGTTGAACATATATAATAGAGAATAGAGACCAACCAATGGAGCCATCAATTACGCTATTAAAAGCAAACTCAGCCTAGGAAAGAGCATGATCCACTATTTAGGTCGCTCTCCACATATGCAATGCACCAAATTCCTTAAAAGATCAATTGGCAACTTCTTTTTGACCATCTATTTTAGGCTGAACAGTGCTGCTAAAGTTCAACGATATGCCAAACATCTTTCACATGGTTAGAAATGGCCGGGGAACTTGGTATCATAGTCAGAATGTAATGGATTTAGGCAGTCCAAACAAGTGAACAACTTAATAAAAGAACAAACAAGCAATGTGTGAAGCATCCAAAGTCTTACTGTATGGAATGAAGTGTACCATCTTTGAAAACCTGTCCACCACCACAAATACCGAATCCATTTCTCTTTGAGTCTAAACAATCCAAGCACAAAATCATTGAACAAATCTTCCCATATGCCTTCAGGAACGGTAAATGTGTATATAACCAAGTATTTTGTGATTGACCTTTTGCTACCTAACAAGTATAGCATTTACGAACAAACCCACATACATCCCTCTTTAATTGAGACCAATATAATATGCTTCAAGACTAGAGATAGTCTTGTCAACACCTAAAAGTCCACTAAGACCTCTATCATGCAAACACGAATTAACTTTTTATGCAAAGAAACAGGGAATGCAAAGACGATTACCTTTAAAGAGATAACCGTCAAAGATATGAAAGTCATCCTGTGTTGCTTTGGTCTGACATGCAAGCTACACCTCCTTGAAGTCATCATCATTAACGTAGAGTTCCTAGAGAACTTCAAACCCGATGACCTTATGGCTCATGGTCACCATCAAGGTCGCTCGTCTACTCAAAGCATCCGCCATCTTATTTTGTTACCCAATCTTGTGCTTCAAAATAAAAGAAAATCATTGAAGATATGCTACCTAATAAATATGTATCTGCTAATTTGCTTCTAATTGTTGATGTACTTCAAGGCTTGGTGATCAGCATATAAAACAAACTAATTCAAGATCAAGTAATGCTTCCAATGCCTCAAAAACTTTTGACGAACTTCACTTAACTTCTTACTAAAGAAATCCACTAGCCTCCTTTCTTGAGACAAAATAGCTCCAATCCCAACATTGCGTGCATCACACTTGACGGGAATTTTTTATCAATGTAAGATTAAATCTGATTTTATACCCGTTGACTGCAAGTATACAGGCCGAAATCGTAATGTAGGGTATGTATCGGGTTGATCCCACGAGAAACAAATTAAACAAGTACTAGGCCCTTATTTTTCTCTATTATTTAGACTTACAGTAAATCTGAGCAAGAAAATTATAATGCTATTGTCTACAAATCTGGTTTAATCAATGTTAAATGCAAATGAGAAATTTCACTAAAGATTGAATTTAGGGATGTAGATTCCACTTATGGCATAAACAACACAAATAAATGGATTTACCTCTTATTATTATTCTTGTTTAACTAGGGATTCATTTCTAATATTAGCAAACTTCATTCTCATGATAAAATGGCTTAGAGTAGTCCAGTTTTCCCTATTGTCATGGTGAAATACTACTACTACTCTGTTTTCTTTCATGAAATGCTAAGTAATCCACTTAAGTGCATCTCTATTTTCATGAACATACAACTTAAGCTCTACTCATGTGTTTTCCATTGTTACTATCAATTCTCATTGAACAATAACAACTATAAACATGCTATTGGTGATCAAGCAATAACAAGTAATTACTACATGCACAAATAGACGAGTTAATACAAGATATAACAAGTGTAAATCACCTTCAATTTATCTCATTTAGCCATAAGTTTTATCTACTCCCTAGATTAAGAAGTTTAGCTACTCATGAATGATTTAACAATCAAACTCACAAGTTTATTAATGCAAAACATCATAAAGTACAAGTACAAGAAAGATAAAAGAAAGCTTAGCCAATTGATGGTGAAGCCCTCCAATTTCTGCTATGCTCTTGTACAAGATGATTACAAGTGAAAACTCCAAATGCTTCTCAAAGAACTCCTAACTAGAGAGAAACTAGTTACTAGAAGAAAAACTAGCTACATAAGGTGATGCCTGACTTTTCCTTGTGTCTCTACATAAAAGGTGGTAGAAAGACACCTTTTTTCTCCTTCATGATTCCAACAACTCAGATTTTTTAAAGAAAGTCAAAAGCAATGTTGTTTGACTTGTCAATAACTCATTTTGTCTTCCCTTTTGTTGCAGAAGCATGTGCCACCGAATTCACTCACTCAAGATAACTGGAAAGTTGTGTGAAAAGTGAGAAAAAACGGTTGTGCACTTACAGAAGAGAGAGGCAGATCCGAGCCTCGGATCCGAGGGGTGCAGAACGATCTGAACTCGGATCAAGGCTGATCCGAGGCCCTTCTCTAATGATCCGAGCTCGGATCATTTGGCCTCGGATGCATTGCTCCAGAAGTACAGACGAGGGTTCGGATCGCCCTTGATTCACACGGATCCGAGCTCGGATCCGTGCTGGTCTTTTTCCAGTTTTTCACTTCTTTTCCTTTTTCTTCATTTTTGCTCCTAATTTCTTGTGTACTTTGTGACGCCCCGAAAAAAAAAATGAGTTTGAGAACCCGGAAATTTTCTAATTTTCTAGGGTTTATTTTTTAAACGCCCGCCTTTTCTACATTTTCTTTATTAGAAAAAATTTCCCAGATAAAGTTTATGAGCAAAGATAGTTTTAAAATGATTTTTTAGTATCGGTTAGTTTTTGAGAAATTAAGAGCGTATTTTGAACATGGGACCCGCAAGTGCGGTAAATGCATTATATTTTTGACAACTTGTTGGAATTTTGTATTAAGTGATATTATTTTACAATGTGTTAAGATATTTGTATTGGAGAGACAAAAAGATAAGTTTTAAACCTAAAGGTGACAAGTGTCACTTTCTTACTCAAGGGTGGACTTTGACCATTTTACTACCTTTACTAATTGATTAAAAACTTGACCCAAAATTCATCTTCTTCATAAGCTCCTTGGCCGAACCTCTTGGAGACAAAAAGAGAGAAAAGCTTCCAATTTCTTCCTTCTATTTCTTGCCCAATCTCACAAACCAACCGTTAAAACCGTGATTTGCTCCATAAAAACCTTTCTTTTGGTGGTATTAAGGTGTGTGGTGAAGTGGTTTGAGAAGCAAAGGTGCTAAGTTGGGTCTTTCCTTGGGTTTGCATGGTAAGTGACTAAGGAACCTTTCCTTTGATCTTGATAATGTTCAATTAGTGATTGGTGGTGGTTGAATAAGTGATTTTATGGATGATTTCATGATTTTGGTTGAAATTAGTGAAGTTTTATATTTAATTAGGATTTTCTGTTCTCATATGATTGTTATTATGTGGTTATGTATGATGATTGGAAATGATAGTTGAGGAAGCTAGGAGGTGGAAAAAGTGATTAATTGCAAGAAAATTCTGTTTTGGAAGAAATCTGGAAAATTAGGGTTCTTGGTTCTTCATTCTGTCCGAAATTTTTGGTCCTAGATAGAGGCCGAATTGGCCTTGGCTCAAAACATGAAAGTTGTAGGTA